GACATATGGACGACTTTTGCTATTGACTTTGTGTTCGTAGTTTCTAACGTATTACAATACTCCACATTTTGCTTTCCACGACTGGAGTATGACTTGTTGCAGGTCTCTTTATAGATGGTCCTGGTGTTCCAAATTAATCCATATTCCTTTGATTTTCAATGATATTAAGTAGAAAGGATAGTTCCATTTTGTAAATTCTATATTCTTGATATCAGCATATCCTGATGATGTCAATGTAGGAATATTTTGCGTCGGAAAGAACTTTTACAAATCCTTCCCAGAAATGATCCATTTTAACTGACATCACATTACCTACGCCAATTTAGTTCTGTTATATGCCGTTCCATCGCAACTTTATACCGAACGTGATTTGGTGATCTCAGTATTCAAAATCGTTTTAATGTAACCTACTCAAGCGTCTGTATTACTAGACTGAACTATATAAATGTCTGACTAAGTATTATTTTGGTACTTAAGAATTCCAACTTTATATGTTAATCTAAAAATATGCGAATGAATGTTTTCTTAAACAATTATCTTACATAAGCTGTTGGTTTAAATTTGAGCTTAATCTTTGTAATTCGTTTCGACATGATCAGCTGGGTAAATTTATATATATATGTATGTTTTAAGTATTTGACGTTACAAATTGTGGAGACATTAGTTTTCCAAAGACTTTCCAACGAAAATGGAAGAGCACGTAATTATTATTGGTTGACGTAGTAGTGAGAATATTGATTCTATAAGATACATAATAATATATGCAATAGGAACCGAAAACGTACCACGTGATGACTTGTGCACATACCATGTGCTTTATCTACACTTTAACACTTAAAGAGATCAATAATGTATACCTACCTCTTATATAAGGGCGTATAACATTCAGTTGGACTCTACATTTCACAAATAAAGTCATATTCTTTTGTTCTTCACCTAAAAAAATTTCTACTTATCAACTACGTTTTCTAAAACAGATCTGATCTACTGTTCTTCACTTTTCCTCAGAACTTCTTACCTTGCTCTTCATCTAGCTTTTAATGTTCTTTTTATATCATCTGCTTCTTTTCTGCTGTTCTCTATACAAATATATTTATTTTCTTGAGTTTTCTGTTGTTTTTTTAAAATTAAATCTTATCTTCTATTTTGTATAAAGCTCTCACCTGCAACTCGTTAATTCTGCTCTTTTGCTTTTTCCCATCTAAATCTAGTATTCTATTACATACTTGATTTTTTCTCCTCTAAATCTAGTATTCTGTTAAATAACTGATTTTTCCCATCTAAGTCTAGTGTTCTATTACATAATTGATTTTTCCCCCTCTAAATCTAGTATTCTATTACATACTTGATTTTTCCCCTCTAAATCTAGTATGCTATTGGGAAAAATCAGGTATTTGTATGTAATAGAACACTAGACTTAGATGATTTAGAGGAGAAAAAATCAAGTAGTTAACAGAATACTATATTTAGAGGGGAAAAAACAAATAGTATTCTGTTAAATACTTGATTTTTTCCCCAAACCGTATCTTTTCTTTCAAGAACATTTTGTCCTTTCCATCTGACCCTTGTTAGCTGCTTTATGATCTCAATGTATGAATGTTTTGCTTCTAAAAGAGTTGTTACATTTTCCTCTCGAAAGCGATCTGAATATTTAAAATCGTTACATACCCAAGGAAGACGGTTTAAAACACTTCTGCTCCGCGGTGATATTGAGATATCACCGTCGAAAACTATTTTTATTTCTCACTGAGCTTTCTACTTCAACTCTGATCCTTTTTTTTGTCTCATCTCTCACTCTCTTTCATCAGATCTGATTTTCTAGTCATGAGTAGATTCCTCCCCAAAATCTGTCTTCTAGATTTTACCCATTTTCGTTCTTCAAATTTGATCTTCAGTTTCCTACCAGTTTTCCTTCTCTAGATATGATATTTTATTTCTTACCAGTTTTTCTTCTCAGAACCTGTTTTACGATATTTTACTCATTTCCCTTCCTCAAATCCGGTCTTCTAGTTCTTCCCCATTTTTCTTCTACAAACAAGGTTTTATATTTCTTGCCTATTTTCATTCTCCAAACCTGCCTTTTTATTCCTTACCGATTTTTCGTTTTTTTTCTCCAAGCCCGGTCTTCTAGTTCTTCCCCATTTTTCCTTCTCCCAATGCAGTCTCCTATTTATTACCCATTTTATTACTTGGCCTTTTTTCCTCTCCAAATCTGGTTTATAGTTTGTTACGCATTTTTTTCTTCTCCAAATCTGGTCTTCTATTTCTTACCTAATTGTCTTCCTCAACCCCAGTCTGTTATTTCTTATACATTTTTCTTTTCTAAACACGGTCTTTTATTTCTTATCTAATTTTCTTTTTTGAACTTGTTCTTTTATTATTTACTCTTTTCTTCTCAAAACCTGGTTTACGATTTCTTACCCATTTCCCTTCCCCAGACCTGGTATTCTAGCTCTTACCAATTTTTTATTCTCCAAATATGGTCTTCTATTTCTTGTTATTTTCTTCTAAAAAACACACACTTCTATTTCGAAAATGTTTCCTTCTCCAAACATGGTATTTTGCTACTTACCATTTTCCCTCACTCAATACTTTGCAATATATCAGGTTTTGAGAAGAAACAAAAGTAATTAATAAAATACCATGTTTGGGAGAAAAAATGGTAAGAACTAGATGGCCAAGAAGACCAGGTTTGAGGGAAAAGGACAATTAATAAAATACCGTGTTTGAAGAGTTAAAATACGTAATAAAAAATCGTATTTGGAGTAGCAAAATGGATAAGAAATAAAAGATCGGGTTTTGGAGAATGAAAATTGGAAAGAAACAGAATATCATGTTAGTAGAAGAAAAATGGGTAAGAACTAGAACACCGTGTTTAGAGAAAGAAAATGGACAACAAATCGTAAATTTCTTACGTATTTTCATCCTTAAAATGTGATCTTCTGTTTTGTGCTCTGACGTCTCAGCTTTAAGCTTATTTAAATACGGATTTCGAGTCCGTGTTAGTAATAGCGTAAATAATCAGTTGTGTAGCTTTGCTTTAAAACAAATCCGCTGTTTTACTTCATTTTTTTCTAATTTCTTCTTCAAACCTGATCTTCTGTTCCTAGTTCATTTTCTTCTCAATATAAGATCGTGTGTTTTCTATTTATTTGCTTATTCAGCCCTAGTCTACTTTTATCTTACCCAGCGATCTTCTTCAAAGATTGTCATTTTTGTCTTACAAGATGTTCCAGTCTAAACCTGTTTTTAACCACCATTTTGTCCAAACATGTTCTTTTTATCATCAACCAGCTTCTTTCTACAAACCTATTGTCCCGCCCTTCGCTCAGCTTTGCTTCGGATCCAATTTTGTGTTTTCACCTTATTTACTTCTTCAAAATTTGTCTCCTGTTCTTAACCCGTTAAATTCGTTAAAAAAGCCAGTAATATTATGTTCTAATACATTTTGTTATTAGGCCTATTAAGTTAATTGTTTTCGTAAAGAAATTCTTTTTGCGTTTAGTTAAAAAGAATCTTACTTTCTGTGACAGTTTTTGAACAAAATATTTCTAAGCAATTTTGAACCAATATTTCTTTTTTTTTACATTTTAACCTATGCTTTTCGAAAACAGCCCTAGTTTTTGCATATTACTTTTCCTATCATTTCAGAATAAGATAATTAACTTATTATCACTTAAAGTCTATGAAAAATATTTAATACAATCATCTTCTGATATGTATTACAAACCGGAGTGTCTGTCCAAGCGTTCGTGTCTCCCGTTTGTAAACACGCAGGCAAAGCTCAACATTCACTTTTGAAATGACGGGAAAACAGGCATGAAAAATATTGACGACAAATTTTATTTATCGAGCAGGATATTCTACACTAATAATAAGTCACAGTAAACAATCTATAGCTTTACACGTTTGCACTCGTAGTATGAAACATAAGGTTGTTGACCTTCTCTATCACAGTATATATAGATCTTCTACGCGTTGAAGGAACTTTGGGAATATATCTGAACATAAAACCAATTAAAAATTATCGTTTCTTTTCTAAGGCAAATTCGTAAAAAATATATCTCAAATCAATTATGTTGTCGTCATCATCAAACCATCCATAGAGATGGATTAATGATTATCAACACTGATACTTCTCCACTGGATTAACGATTATCAACACTGATACTTCTCCACCACTGGATTAACGATTATCAACACTGATACTTCTCCACTGGATTAACGATTGTCAACACTGATACTTCTCCACTGTCAATATTAGTGTCAATCTTGTCTTCAGTTTCATGTTCATCTAGTGGCTAACTGATTTAATACCATATGATTGTATAACCTTATCTTCCAATAAGCTAAAACTTAGGTGATTTCAGTCCTGGTTTTGTTAAATCCAAAGGTTTTTTAACACAACAAGCTTTTACTCTTGATCTGAATCCATAAGCACATCCTATCAGAAAATACACTTTTCATGCCTTTATTCTCTTTTTCATGGTTGCATTTATAATTTAGTTATATAGTCAATTCTAATAATTACAAATCAACTCGTTTGTGTTCAATGCAGCTTGTAGTTTTAACTGGATTTCTGCTGTTCATAGTCCTTGCTATCATATCCCAAGTTTCCACAATTTAATTAAACAAATTGAATATTTCTATTACCTGTAATGGGACACTGCACAATTTATGAACTACATTACATCTCCAGTTAATTTAGGAATTTGACTGACTGCTATTAATTACTCTATTCATGTAAGACATCTAGTTTTCTATTAACAACTTGAATTTACATCAATTCCATAGAAATATTGCTTATAACACAAAGATAGATTGGAAAGATTAGACACATATGTTTATTAATCATTCCCTCTTATATAAAAAATAAATACATTCTTATTCTGTTATACACATAGTTAAAGTCAATGGTTCATATATGCTTCAAAAACTTGTGTTGTTGAGACATTAAGGTCAGAGTGTAAATGAATGAACAGTTTTTTTTTAACCAATAGATTCAACAGATCTTCTAAAAAAAGAATGGGTGCTAGTAGTAGCGCAGCTAGGCTTAACACAGAACCTCTACAAGAATCAATAGCGCCTCCTAACAGTAATTACGAGAAGAATGAACCAACTAATCAAGATGCTGAAGAGTATATCAATGAAAAACCCAGCCTCGGAACTGATCAAAATCAACCAACCGAGAACGAAGAAAAGGAAACTGATAAGAACTCATCAGCTGTTAGTGTCATGGGAGAATCGATCCAAAACATTGAGAACAATATTAATGAATTAGAAAATCAGAGATCGAAAGCCATGAAGAGTAGTCGTTTAGACAATAAGACAAAACAAAGAGAACCAATTAAAGATACGAAACAGATAGTATCAAATGAGGATTTGATTATTCAGAGAACTACCAAAAGTAGTTTGACAGTTTCATCAACTGATAGTAACCAAGTTGTCATCAACAGGCCCAGGCCACAGACCTCGCAGTCATCCAACTTTAGTAGAGGGCGGGGAGTCAAATCTCATCCAGGATCAATTAGATCAGCGATATCAGAACCATCTTGCAGAGATGAGTGGGAATTTAAAAGGGTAAGTTTAGGACCTGAGGTTCTTTGTTATAGTAAATGTTAACTATTCCACATAATGGATATATTTCTACCACCTGACGTGGTAAACCTATTGATTGGCTTTATTTTAAAATGGAGTGAACTCGTATAACTGATAGTTATAATTTATCGATTTAATGGGGAAAAAGTGTGAAGGTGTTTTATATCTTTAAGGACGATTTAATAAAATGAGCAGGGGTGACACTCCCAAATGCTTGGGAATGTTTCCAAATGTTTCCTCCGTCAGGTAGAAATATCCAAAATGGCGATCAAAACGCATAAAAGCTCAGCCTCTAGTTACCACGAGAAAGTGATTATGGTATCCAAATATATTTTTTGCGGTAAAAAAATCAGTTATATACAGTCAAGTAGTCTCAAATGAAAAATAAACATGGTTGCCATAATTTCAATTGAAAATCCAAAATGGCAATTATATTCCAAAACTCTATTGGGATAAACTTTGTTTTAAATTTTATCATTTATAGATTTACTAGAAAGCAAATATTTGTGTGGGATTTTCAAATTCATCAAATTATTTGTGGAGATTAAAATATTTTCAAATAGCTGCCATATTTCTAAAATTCTTAAAGTTATTATAACCGTGACCTTTCTTTGAAAATTGCTCAATGATAATAAATTATCAAGATAATTTTTATTGCATTCAATCTGTACTTTCTACTGCCTATTCTTTATAATGTAAGATCTACAGTCAAGATTGCATAGCAAAAAATGGTTAACATACATTGTTAATTTTAATGTTAGTTTATGTAAACATTGTACTTCTTAAGTTCAAAATCAATTGTAGAATCCGACTCTGAATCATATGTTTGTACTGTACTTGACATTCTCTCCACTTTGATGATATTACATAGGGTGTGAGGATCGGTTGACACTTTCCTGTAATGAGACCCCTGTCATGCTTAAGTGGGGAAGGTTAAATATCAAACTTATGATAATTTAGAAATAGGTAGACTTCATAGTTTGCTCTTTCAACCTGGCGATTATGTGAATCAATATCTGGTGAAATTCTAAGAGTTGACTTCTTCTTTATCATTTTACACTTGGAGGCTTGACTCTCAGCAAGGATTTTCTGATCTGGTCATAACAGATGTGTTTGATAGGGAACTTTATCAGGTTTAACATAGCTATTTGGAAAACTGGAAAGGTAGTGTCAAGTGTTTCAAATTTTTTATGGACTTCTGCGGAATTTATTATACATTTGTAGACAGTTTTCTTCCCATGTCAATGCTGTAATTGCATCAGAACCAATGAATATGTCCAGAAGTACAAAGACTTTTTAATCATCCTAGGAGCAAATCGGTTTGCAGTCATAAAATGCTGTTTTTCTCCAAAAACATGTTTTTATGCTTTTATTCCAAACATAACACCTACTTTTTTCCACTAACTCTGCAGCGAAAACAACCACATCTGTATCTTCTGTATCAACAATAACTCACATCCTTTACTCTTGACTTTCTTAATTGAAACTAAAGTTATCTTCTGTGTGTTGGCTCTCAAACTCCACCATTTTTGTATTTTCTATATTAGACAATAAATCTCAACAGTTATTCCTCAGTGAAAAAAAAGAGCTATACCTGTGTTTTTTGACATGTCAGGACCCTGAATGCCTTTCTTGTTAATTGCAGAAGATGCATTTTGTTCTGTATATTTTTAAAGATGATATATTATTGTGAGTATGATAGTTGGTTGTTTCTCCGCATTTCGTCTCTCATGTTCATTAGCCTTAATACATATTTGAATATCATAGAAACTACTTACTAGCACAGTCTTGTGAATGACAAGCACGAAACAAGTGTGAACATATCCTTAGCATAATCTCTTGAAGTGAAGAACGTCTCGTCATGTATCACTTTATCCAACTGTAATATGTAAATTTACTCGGACTTTTTTTCCTTTATCGTGGCCCCATTAATGTTAAAAATTTAAAGACACTTTTCAGTTACACGATTATTCATCACTTGTACAAGGTCAATTGTATCTTTTTAACATTCAGCAAGGGTGAATACCCCTGTCATAACCTTGTTTTTCATTGCATTAGTCTTTGTAACAGAAAATTTCCCCTTCGTTGGCGACTGAAATCCCGTTGAAATTGTGCCTTGAGTTCCTGTGAACAGTAGCAGCAATGACTTTGTATATGAGAACATTCATTCTTGAAAGAACTTCTTGATCAGATTCTCACCATCATGATGGATTGTTTAATAATTATATACAAGTGGTTCAGATATAATCATTCCAGGTTGAGGAGATCGCAGAGTAGGATTGGTGAAGTCAAGTGGATCACAGGCAAATTCAGTAGTACAATTGTTCAGGTTTTGAACTGCTTCTTCATCTAGTCTCATTCATGTATTAGAATGTCCACTGTGAGGAAGGGAGGCATTTGTGAAGTTTGCGATGTCATGTAGTATTTCTGGAGTGAATCATCAGCAGTGGCTCATTCTTCAAAATTATTGTCCATTTAGCCTTTATTTTCGAGCCCCTTTTCATAGTTGTTTCTATCTATAAATCCAGGGACAAACATGAGAAGAGTTTCCAGTCAGGGACTTAGAGACCAGTCCATCACTCATATAGAAGTATATTTGTTGCTTTCCTTATTTGTCATTAGCCTTGACCTGTAACCAGAGCAACATCATTCTTAAAAGTGCCTTGAATGCTTACACATCTTTAAGTTTTCAAGGTGTGAGTGTTCAACAACAACATTTCAATCATATTCATCATCAGGTTACACGCATTTCAGACTTCTCAAATACTTCATCAGCACATGAAGATAACTCTGGATTTGACTAATTTAGTTCCTCTCTTTAGTTCCTTCAGTTCCTCTCTTTAACATGTGGATAGGTTCCTTAATATTGCCGGTTTCTGCGCCTGCTCTTGAGATACATATAGCTCATCATCCAATTATTGTTGAATATTTCTGTGAATAAGCATCCCATACATCACTTTTAATAAATATCGGATGCTTTGTTTTTGTTGTGATATCCAAAAAGTGATTGACCAACAGAACCCAGTGGAATAATATTAGCTGCAACACGAACTTCACGTAAAACTAATTCTTTTGAACCTCTTATTGATTGCTCATTTAAAGGATAATTGAGCAAGAAAGAGGCCTGGGAACGGAAGTATTAGCGCAAATGTTTCATAAGTTATTATTCTTAAAGTGAACAGTGAAGGCATACAGTGGTTGATTTCACACTAGTTGAATAGATGGCATTGACCTCTTTTGAGCTATAGCAACTATCCTATACATAACCTTATGGACAATGGTCTTCATAGTGTTTTAGGGAAACTTTGAAAGTAATAAATCTTACTTTAATAGCACACTTTTGGATGCAAACTTGAAATCCATACAGTGCTTCAATCTGTTAATTGTTTTGTGACACACAGTTTCCTAGCAACATTATGACGTCTAAAAAAAGAATACTTCCCTACAGCTGCTGTTCATTAGTGCACTGTGGTGAGATTACCACTTCTACTCTGACAACCAATAAGTCACATTTCATAATCTTATAAGGTTTTACGTTGTGTTGTGTCATTGTGTGAATTTTCAAGTCACCAGACTTGCATATAGACAGTTCTGAAGTTATTAGTTGAAGTATTCATTGCAATATCTTTTGGTTAAACTACATTTGTACTGTGTGATGTGATTGAACCTGTTAAGGTGTCCTTTAGGAAATCGTTATTATTTAAAATGCCAGTTCCTAGTACACCTTCTCGAGCTCCTCCGGGCAAATATTCTTTTCATTGTCAAGCTTGAACCATAAAATATCAAGATTGAAAGCGTCCAGGTACCAAGAGGTAATTTTTTAAAAGGTCTATTTATTGTCAATCGATGTAGAGTTCTCTAACAACAAAATCTTTGGGCATTTAGTGTCGATTAATGGATATATCCATCTAAAGAGAGTAGAAATTTCTGGATCACAGCAGGGCTAATTGAAATCGTTTTGACCTGAATGTATTAACCATGTCAGAAATTTTTTGCAGTAGTATATTGAGTTCATCTGGGATTTACAGTTCATAAATACTTGATGGCTAGGTCAGACTTCTTTCACCTACAAACTTGTCCTTTACATACAGGTCTAGTAACAGATTTCTGTAACTGTTCATCACTAACACCTCAAAAATATATTGCTGCTTCTACATAATTTCTACTTACTGATAAGTCCTACACTATAGTGCTCTTGTTCTTGCGTTTATTGGTCATGAAAATATATTTTATTTTGAAGTTAGCATCTATTTAATTGTACTTGTTGAACTTGAATCAAAACGAAAGTTTTTAATAGGTTATTGTAGTCCTGAAGAATGTCTTGTAATGCTCTCGATTCTTTAAGATCAACACAAATCTATGAACGTATCTGAAGATCATTTATTACACTTCAGCATATTGTTGCGTCAGCGAGGTCACGTGACTAG